ATGCTCTGCCAGGGAGGAGGGCAAGCTGTGAGGAAGCAGAGACGGGGCGCCTGACCCGGGCTAGCCGGGGAGGTATTCCATACCACAGCACGTCATGCCCAGGGTGGGGGGTAACTGGGAGTTACCCGGAAGGACACGGGCTTCCGGGTGGAACTCGCTTTCTTGGCCAGTGGTATCGTATTCTCTTCCCTTGTTATTTTCCCTTATCATTGTTTTAGCTGATAGTAGTGGTGGTGATTTGTTGCTGGACTGTTCTTGTCTCAACCCGTAGGAGTTGCACTCTCTCGATCCTCCTCCCCATTCCTCCGGGAGCGGGGAAGGGGAGAGCCCCGGTGCGGGGGGGGGGGGGGGGGGGGGGCGGGGGAGACGGACACGGACCTCGATTGTTGTCAGCTCGGCACCACTCACTGGAAGTGAGTGAACAAGTTACCTGACTGGGTTTAAACCACGACAATGCAGCAGCTTTATAGCTACTGGTCCATGCACTTAGATAAGAGTGATGGTATATTGAAAATGTGGGATCTGAGCATGACGTAAATGGTATGGAATAAGGGGTGGATAACGTCCTGGGTTCAGCAGTAGCAGTCATTTTTCTCCTTCTTGGTAGCTGGTGCAGTGCAGTGTTTTGACTTTCGGCTTGGGAACAGAGCTGGTAACAATGATGTTTTGGTTTGGCCAAGGACTTTGTGAGCCTCATGCTCTGCCAGGGAGGAGGGAAAGCCAGGAGGAAGCAGAGACAGGACACCTGACCCAAACTGACCAAAGAGGTATTCCATACCACAGCACATCATGCCCAGGATGTAACTGAGAGTTACCTGGACGGGCTGGGACTGCGGGGTTGGAGGAGGTATCGGTCAGTGCCTGGTCAGGCTGGGGGGGACAAGTTATCGGTTGGCTGGTGGTGAGGTGATGTATTCTCTTCCCTTGTTATTTCCTTTATCATTGTTATTATTGGTATTAGCAGTAGTGATTTGTGTTATACCTTAATTACTAAACTGTTCTTATCTCAACCCGTGGGAGTTGCATTCTTTTCAATTCTCCTCTCCATCCCTCCAGGAGTAGGGGGATGGAAAGAAGGGGGGGAGTGAGTGAACTAGTTACCTGACTGGGTTTAAACCACAATAGCCCTCCTGGTCTGCGTGCTGGCCAAGATGTTTACTAGCCATGACCGCTGCTAGTGATGGTGCAGAACAATCTGTGGTTCTCAGGCTGATGTAAGCCGGAGGTTTTCCACTTATTTCATTCTTGAGTCACCTCCAGTGTAAGCAGAGGCCCTATGTACAAGAGGTACTAGCAACAGCTTGCTCTTCTCACAGCTCAATGAAAAGTGACCTATAAACACTTCAGTTTGAATTACATTGGTATAAACCCTTTGTTAATGTGTAATAAGAAATTGAGTTCTCTCCTCAAAACATCAACAATCTAGACAGAGAGAACATGTGCTGTGGAGATGTCCACTGGAGAGGTGATATGCTTTATCCAGCATCACTCACCACATCAGAGGCAGAGCCAGGAAAAGACCCATGGTATCTCATAGCCCTTGTCCCTTGCTTTCCTCTTCATCAGCTTACTGATTATAACTTTTCACTGTTTCATGCCTATTATTGTCTTCCAATTCCTTGGAGCAAGAAATAAGCCGTTTGGTACATTGGAAGATAAATGGGTATGGTGATATTAAAAGTAGAATTCCACAGACAATTCAATAGTGTTTAAAATATACATGTGGTGTGTAAAAACATCAGCTCAAGTATTTATTTGCCAGCTGACTACAGGAAGGGAAAGAAAAAAAACTAGATGGCAGAGGGCTTAGCTGGTCATTTAGCACCAGACCAGAGCTTGCTTGTTTGGGTTTTACACCTGACTTTCCATAGACTTCTGGAGTGGCTTGTGATAAATCTCCTTCCTTTCTGGGCTTTGGGATCTTAGGTGCCAAGAAGTTATTTATCTGAAAATATCACTTATAAACTACATCTTCAGTAGGCTTCATATCCTTAAGCACGCCTGGCATTCTTTTTATAGCCAGTGGTGGCAAAATCGAGTCTTGTTTTGTATTTAGGGAAACCACAAACACCTCTTAATAACCCAGATGCTGCTGAATGTGATGCTTTGCCAGCTGCTAATTGCTGTGGTCTCTCCTCCACAGCAATTAATGGGTTTTGAGAGAGGGCAGACACAGTTTGCTTTGTTGCTTTGGTAAACTGTGTAATTAAAAAAAAAAAAAAAACAAAAAAAAACACCTCAGAAGTAGCCAAAATTGCTTTTTTTTTTTTAAAGTCATGATGTCTGTATTTGGACTACACAACTGCTACTGAATTTCTCATCACCTCTGTGCCAAACCAGTCACCCATCTCTCACATGCTCTCCTGCTGTAAGTACAAACTCCCTCTGCAGCAAATTACTGCCATTCAGGCTCCTGTTGTAACACTTCAGTCAGCTCATAAAAAAAAATGAATTGACAAAGTCAGAAGATTTACACTTGAACAAGTGACTGTCACTGGCCACATTTACAGTTTGTGAGTCCTTAGTAGTTATAAAGCATTTTAATAGTGCAATGAAAAGAGGATTACATCTGTGGTTTATGCTGGCTGATGGGACATTTCATGAGACTATTCTAAAGCCTCTTTGACATTAGAAAAACAACTTCTCATTTGGTAAAACTATAAAACTATATTTTATAACAAGAAGCTCTAACTTACCTGTGCTTCACTGAATGATTACACCCAGACCAAAGCCTTCTTAGTGGCGTTAACAATCAGTGACTCATTTCCAAGAAATGGAGTTACTGCTTTAAGCCTTGAAAATGGAAACTGCTTGTCTCCTAGGTAATACAAACTAAATGAGTGAAACCTGATCATCTCTCCTGGCACACTGTTCACACTAGAACCATAACGTGTCTTGCATCACCAGAAAGATATGAGGAAACTACAGCATTTGTTTAAAGTCACAGACTTTGTCTGCATCTTTTAAGCACTCACCAGCATTAGGTTTAATGCTGCACACTTAGTGCTTTCATGTTAGTGACCGCACAACCTGAAGACACACGTGTTGTGGCATCCAAAGCAGAGGGCAGTGATCATAGAAACACAGAATCCTAGAATAGTTTAGGTTGGAAGGGAACTTAAAGATCATCCAGTTCCAACCCATCTGCCATGGGCAGGGACACCTTCCACTAGACCAGGTTGCTCAAATTCCCGTCCAACCTGGCTTTGAACACTGCCAGGGATGGGGCAGCCACAACTTCTCTGGACAACCTGTTCCATTGCCTCATCACCCTCACAGTACAGAACTTAATGATCAGTGACCCTGTATGCGACACATGTAGCCTGTGCACTTGAAAGTCAAGAAGTCACTTGACCATGTCAATCTTGCATGAAGACATGCAGAAGATGCCCTGCAAAGAGCCTGCCTTTCATATACCATTCTTACAGGAATGACCTGCAGGATCTGGCTAGCTCCCCGTTTCAGATGCTCCTTCATTACTAATTTTCATCTCATCCAACTTATGCTCTCCCTTAGATACTAACTTTACCGCAACATCAAAAGAGCAAGAAGGGTCATTATGAAATGCTTCTTGACCCTTAGTACCCCTTCATAGTGTGGCTTCTATGTGTTTTTTCAGAAGAACATTTTCCATGTGAAAAACTAGAAAACACTGTATGGAATTACTGTAACCTTCTGAAATCATATAATTAAGACCATTAACTCCCACCAGGCTTGCTCTTTGATATTTTACATCAGATCTGTATCTCAGGTTCTCTTCAGCAAGTAAATTGTCCGCTAAAGACAATATTCTTTTAGGCACACAGTACTCCTAACAATACATTTCACAAATGTTCAGACAGGTCTTTCTATTAAATCACAGAGGTTTTACCAAAAAAGTAAAGCCTGGATTTTGTTATTAAATTGTATTTTCACTACTGTACATGCTAATCAATCCCCACATTGCACTAGGCAGGTGAGCCACTCCCCACCAGAAAGCACAGAACTAAATTTTTAATAACTGAGCAATGGAATAAGTTTCTGTCCTGCCTTCTGCATCTTACCAACCATCAACATTTTGCAGCCATTTTTACCTAAGATGTGGCTATACCACTGAGTGACGTTACCAAAAAAGCAGAAAGACTGAACTCCTTGCCTCAAATGAATTTTTCATGGTACAATTTATTCACAGTATACTTTATTTAGCTTAAACTTACTGAGGTTTTTAGCTGGGAATTATATGCAAATCTTCAGTAGTTTTATGGAGAGGAGGGTATCTAACTCATCTGCCTGAAATAGGACCTTAGTACTGTCCCCAGAGAAGTTGATGCCTCCAGAGGGTGAGTGAAGGTGTCAGAGTTGAAGCTGGACTGCAGGGACTGCAGAGTCTCCCAGCTGCCTGCCGGAGGGAGCTACCAGGCAGGCACCTTCCTCCGAGCACTGCTGCTGAATGACTGACAACAGCCACAGTCAGCTGAATGACGTTCAGTTCACATCAGGAATTCAAAGGCCAAAATCACTGTAGAAATATTGTGATGACCTGTAGTACTGGGAAAGCTAAAATTTAACTTCAGATCTAAACTTTATTATGGCATTAAAGGCACCTGAGCAATTGTAACTGTCCTTCAGAGATGGAAAACAAAAAAGTCCCAACAGCTCAATTTTTAATAATTGTAATTGCATGGTTACAATCCAATCACTTAAATATCAAAGCTGTTTAATCACTTAAATATCAAAGCTGACACCTACAGTTATACCCCTACTGTATCTAGTATATAAACATTAGACACTGCCACTCTCCAGTGTATTTCATTACGTGGTGATATTTATACATTGAAAGATGACTGTGAGGTGTAGAGAATCTGAAGACTTCAAGATTACGTCATCAGAGTCCCTTACTACAGAGTTAAATCTCCTGTGAAATTCCTACCCTCCAGAGTCCTCTGACCAGCTGTACTCCCTGCCTGAGGTCTGAAGGGTGCTAGATCAGAGAGGGTGCTAGCTGAAGGATTTTAACGTACCATAGCTTAAGCTAATTGAAAAATCCAGTATTGTAGGCAGAGGTTAGTTGTCGTCTGTGCCCCCACTTCCAACTGTACTGCCCTGCTTACACCAGACTGCCTCACTCAGCCAACTGAAAACATAAACTTTGTTCTTTTCAATTTTCTAGCAATGTTAGTTTTCAGATGGACCAGGGAGCAAAACTGGTATATGCCAAGGCTGAGAAATTCTGAGTCCTCATGCAAGGTCCACAGGTGAAAACAGGTCTCCCCTTACCCCCTCACTTTTGGAGGTGCAGTCTTAGATTAGCTCAAGTTGGTCTTTAAACCCAACTCCAAGGTGTCTTAGAAGCTGTGTACTGTTGTGGTGAGCAAATTCAGTGTTGCATGTGTTTCTCTGCTCTTCATTTTTAATAGAAACTAGCTTTTTCTTTCCAGGAGGGACGCTTTGGGGTTTGGTATTATTCTGTTCCCAGTCAGAAACAATTTGCCCACCCATTAATGAAAGTAGAACCAAGCAAAGTGCATTTCTCCTCCCATATTGAATTCAGTTAAAAAAGATTTGTAAGCTTTATCAGTATTTGAAGAACAATTGCTCTAATCTTTGCTGGAAGGCATGGCTGGGTGATTTGTTTGTCTCTCACAGGCACAGGTGGCTAACAAGTGCTATAGAAGACATACACACAATGTTACAAAACACAGAAGATTCACTCTAACAGATTTTCATTTTTAAAATGATAATTGCCTTAAAACTGTCAGGGATAGGATCCCAGCCACTACATGCTACTTGTCTGAATGCTCTGCTTCCTTTCAATGGGGACGATACAAATGAGCAACAGCAGCTGCAGAGCATAGTAAAGGGCTCTTGAGACTGACTTGAGCTGAGCAACAACCACACCGAAAGCTCTCAAAGGCCACCTCTGTCTAGCTGGAGATGTTTGTTTCTTCTCCTGCAATTATGTCCTAAATATGGCAGTACTGTTTCACATGCCTCAGTGCTCTCCCCATTAGCTATGAGTAAGGTGCAGGAAGTACTTTCCAAATTTTGCTTTCCCTTTTCCCCGAGACTTGTTCAGGACAAAAAATTCCCAACTGTCAAATTTATTAAAATGTCATGAAATTCACAGTGTACAAGGGCATGTAGTGATAGGACAAAGGCTTTAAACTGACAGGGGGTGGATTTAAACTGGATACTGTGAAGACGTTCTTTATTGTGAGGCTGGTGAGACGTTGGCATGGGTTGACCAGAGAAGTTGTGGCTGCCCCATCCCTGGCAGTGTTCAAGCCCAGGTTGGACAGGGCTTTGAGCAACCTGGTCTAGTGTGTGGTGTCCCTGGCCATGGCAGCGAGGTTGGAACTAGATGAGCTTTAATGTCTCTTCTAACCAAACCCATTCTGTGACTCTGTGATTCATGTATGAAAACCCTAACAACCACATGATGGAAACTGCCCCTCTCACTACATGTCAAAGCAGTGCTGAAGTCCCAGTGTTGATGCAAAGCCTATTTTTTCTGTTCCAAACAGCTCTGTAACTGTCTCTCTAACATAGGGATATGCTTAGCAGTAGCTTGAGGCATTCTACGTGTATTTTGAAAACAATGTGAAGCTCTGCTCTTGTGCAGTATTTGAGATAAGGAGGAGCTGTGAGGTGAATTGGCTAGATGCAGAGGCACACTGCTGCTCCTAAGCTGCATCAGGCTATCACATGCTAAAGACACCTGTGGAACACACCACCAGGCTCCCTCGATCCCCAGTGGAGGCTCTTCTGCAGCTCAAACAATAAGAGGATGTGAGCCTCAAAAGAAGCAGAAACTACTAAGAAGTTCTGAATGGCCATTGATTTAGAGAAAACTCCAGGAACAAACTCGCCAACAGAGTTTCAAGTTGACAAGCAAGTATTCTTTATTGCGGCGCCGGGAGACACGTAACGTGCTCCTCGTAACGTGTGTCCCCGAATTGCTATACAGGTCATCCTTATATGGTCACTGAGCATATTACATCATTTTCCAAAAAGTTTCCGGCATGCATACAAAAATGTGGTGGTCTTTAAGGGTCGTTTACTTTTCCCAACAAGCTTAATTAAAATTACAGACATAGCAATCATCCTGGCCGCCTACTTATCAGTCAGTTTAACTGCTCTCACCCTGGACATCTGCTAGTCCCCACCCCAGGTCCGGTCCTTCTATTCTGCTTTTCTCACACCTTTTGTACTGAGGCCCTGAGGGCCTGAAACTATGTCAACTACCTCCAAGCACCGCAGTTATTTTCCATTACAAAGCCATCAAACTTAACATTACTTAGAACTGATTACATTTTGTACTTTTGTGCCTCCTTGTCTCACCATGAATGCATACAGCACAATACCAAATGCAGAATCCCAAATGAATGTCTTTAAAAGGAAAACAAATCTCAGTAACAACCTCAGGTTTGTAAAAGGAGGGCTTTTTTTTGCATGGTTACTTTTCAGGAGAGGTACTCAGATATTAAGAGGACAGGTGACTCAGAAATACCACACATGTTTACAATTCTACCCTTTTATAGAGTTTCTTCTGTAAAAAGATGCCTGACTACTTTATAAGCCTTGACAGATTAAGGATTTCAACATCCTGTTGGGTCAGATGACAGCAACATAATATTCACATTAAAGATAAAATAAGACACTTTCCCACAGTCATAAAGCACAACTACAAACACCAAGCAGTCCAAGCTTTTCTTGGAAGTTATATGGTTAGCCGGAACCTGCTCAACGTATACCAAGTACCAGCATTCACATTCAAATCCAACCCTGCTTCTACATCCCTCTCTGCTCCTTTTTCTACGCATAAAGCCTTATCCCACAACTCTTCATATGGTGAACATTTTTTCTCCAGACAGTGGTGTTCTTTGTATGTGTGTGATTTCTTCCCCCATCAATGATGCCTGGAGCATAAGAAAGATGCTAGAGAACTAGCAGCAACCTGACAATATCCACTATCAGGCAAATGTGTTCTGGCATAAAACCTGACAATATTCACTATCAGGCAAATGTGTTCTGGCATAAAACTCATCCTACCATGACCTGGAAAATAGCACCATGACCATGGCTGACTTTGGGTCAGAAATTTTAGCTACATGGATGGGGTCAGTTAATGACAGCTGCTGGGAAGGAGGTGCATGTGCTGGTAAGTGAGTGCACTTCTCAGTGTAGTCATGAAAACGTTTTGTATTCCTATATACAATATGTCAATTACTTAGGAACTGTATGCAGAACATCTACAGTACTGTAAAAACTCACAGTTCCCTCAAGAAAACTAAGCTACCTTACCAAAAAACAAAGCTCAGGCAAAAGCCTTATCTTGCCTTCTTTCAATTACACAAACATGAAAACAAACCAGAGCAGCAACCTTCACTCATGAAGTGACTTTCTTCTCGGAGGTTTCCAAACAAAATCAGCTGCATGGCATATGCTGCCAAAACAATAGCTACCAGATTAACAGATGGTATGTTGTGAATTAAACGTTGACACAAACCCCAGACATACCACTCAGTCCTCTCTTGACACTAAAACTTCCCTATTTTTCTCACCTCGCGATATTTACGCACAGAAAATACCTCTACATTTATGCTTGTCCCCCGCTGCCTCCACGACTGCAATAATCAGATGCTCCACCAAAGTCCCTTCACACACCATCCAGATACGAAGAAGCATGAGCTGCAGTTGGTGAGTCCAGAACTACATACGTACAAATCCACCAGCCGGCTGCAGCTGAATTGCTGTGACAACTGTCCAACACATCTCAGTTCTGCCCGTTATCTAGAGGAGCACTGCTCTGGGTCTCTCCCTACCCTCGAGGTACTGGATTTTCCAAAAATTTAAATTTATACTCTTCTTTCTAAGGCGTCTGGAATTGCCTGAAGGCATCGAAGTCGGCAGACAGGCAGACAGGAGCAGGCAGATGCTATTGCATGGGCTTTGTTTCCTCTGGACTCCAGGTAATTGGTTTTACTCATTAGAATCAATACAAAACAAAACACAGACGCAAAGTGTCATTTACATAACCATGAGTTTCCAGATGCCTGAGCTTGGAGAATAGGAGGCTGAGACACCTTCTCACTCTCTACAATTACCTGAAAGAAAGCTGTTAGGGAGGTGGGAGTCAGTCTCTTCTCCCATGTAACAAGCGATAAGACAAGATATAACAGCCTCAAGCTGCACCAGGGGTGGTTTAGATTGGATACCAGGAAAAACGTCTTCACAGAGAGGGTGGTCAGGCATTGGAACAGGCTGCCCAGGGCAGTGCTGGAATCACCGTCCTCGGAAGTGTCCACAAACCGTGTAGATGAGGCCCTCAGTGACATTGTTTAGTGTTGGTCTCGGCAGTCCTGAGGTAATGGTTGGACTTGATGATCTTAAAGATCTTTTCCAACCTAGTGGATTCTGTGATTCTACAATTCTTCCGACCGAGCCCCGACGCCGGGTTTACTCTGGAGCGTTTCTCGGCGGGGCAGAGCGATGAGGACTCGCTCCACCCGCCTCCGCCCCGGTCAGTCGCCTGAGGGGGCAGGCAGGGCGGGGCGGAACGCAGAGGGGAGGCATAAGCGCGCAGGCGCAGGGCGCTAAGCCATTCCCCAGGCCTACGGGAGGCCTCGGTTGCGGCAGGGGTAAGTTGTGGTGCGGGAGAGGTGTGAGGGCATGTGTGGGACAGGGCCCGCTGTCCGCGGGGAGACCTCCGTCACCCTCCGCCTCCTGAGGGGCTGTGCGGAGTATGGCGGTGGCCTGGTCGTCTGTTTGTGTCCCCGGCGGCCCAGCCGGGGTTTTCTTCTGAGAAATTCGCCCCTTCGTCGTAAAGGGCGTAAAGCCCCCTGACCGCCCTGGAGGAGCTTTCTGTCCTTACCCTCGCTGTTTGTGCTGGTCGGAGCCCGGCTGAGCTGCTGGGCAGCTGGGGTTCGCGTGTGTGCTGGCGGTGTGCCTGACAGTGCCCTGTGCCCGTGTGGTCGCGTTTAGCCGACCTCCTCCCTGCCCTGACCTCCCTGCAGTGCCCGGGGCCTTGCTGAGTTGAGTTTGTGAATCCTGCCCCTGGGTCCCCGGCTGTGCTCTGCTTGTGTGAGCTATGGGGCAGGGGGCCTTATCACCGCTTCTTCTTTACCCCTCGGTAAGCGGGGTTAGCCAGGGGTGTGTTTTGTTCACCTTCGCTCAGGTGGCATCTTGCAGAGGACCCTGCGTGTAAAAGTGAAACCTGAGCCCTAGAGCTGCTGGGGGGGGGGGGGGGGGGGGTGGAGTGACTGCACTACAGGGGGGTGTCGGCTGTCCTGTCATATGTAAAGTTTAAAGAAGAAAGGAGGTTTGCTGGCTTTGTCTTTTTTAGCCAGTGCTACATGATCTGTGGGTAACTAAAGCATTAGGCAAAGGCAAGCAAAACCTCCCGTTATCAGGATATCAGGATTGAAAGTCAGTGCTTAAGCTGGGAATATTAATAACACCAAAGGCAGTCATTAATACATATATACAAAGTAAAATTCGTGCTGTAAGAACAACACATCCTGAGTTTGAACTTGGTGAATGTGCTTTGGGGTTTTTTATGATGACATATACTTTTTACTCTGTTTTTAGGAAGTATTCAACATCAATTAAAATGTCTTCCACCAAGTCTCCAAATGCAAGCGAAACACCCAGAAAACCAGGATTGAGAACTGTTCAAACAACTATGCTCTTCCGAGCTGTGAACCCAGAGCTTTTCATTAAACCTGTAAGAGGCTCACTCTGAGGGAAAGTAAACAGGCTTGGAGAGACACGGTTGCTGTAAAGTTGTCATTGCTATTCTGTGTGCATTATATAACAGTCTGTTATGCAAAGCACTCAGTAATGTAGCTAAAAATATTTTTACTTTATTTCACTCTGATTGTTATGAGCCCAGAACACTACATTGTTTATTCCAGCTTTTATTTCACTGTTATATTGTCTAATCCTTTTATACCTAGCCAAGTTACTAACAGAAAGACTGTCTACAGACGTATTACCCATGTAATTTGACAGGTTAAGTAATAGGAGTCCTCTGTAATGTTTAAAAGGGAACAAAACAAAAAGTGCAGGCTTTCGGGGGGGGGAGGATTTTTAGTACCTTTTCAATATTTTTTATTTTTGTTGCTTTTATAATTAAGTTGAGGATACTCAGGTTTTATTTGCACTTGCGCAACCCAGCAAGACTGGATGAAATTTTATGCATGTAATAGAAGCACATTCTGTGATAATACATTCTGTGTTTTTACACAGAATCACAGACTGGTTTGGTTTGGAAGGGATCTTAAGGATCACCCGGTTCCAACCCTCCTGCCATGAGCAGGGACACCTTCCACTAAACCAAATTATTTGTCTCAGTAGCATGTTCAGATGAATTCTGTTAGAAGTTTGCATTTAGTTACCTTTAGTGATAGGTTTTGGCCTGTTCATTCATGCTGAAGCAGCGTTTGGGACCAGCAAAAGACACAGCACTGGACAATGCCATGTTCTGTCTCCAGGGAGGCTTCTTTTTCAAAGGGAATTCCTTTTGCTGTCAGAAAATTGAGTCTCCCTTCTTGCTGGTTATCAAAATCATTTGGATCAGTCTGCTAGAAAGCAGTGATAGTTCTTGCAGATATCACAGCCGTTTACTGTTCACTTTCTTAGCCAAGACAGAAGAATGTTTGTGTTGAACAAAGAAATGTTTTGACTAAAGACAGATACTAATTATTTTTTTTCTTGTCAGAACAAGCCTGTGATGGCATTTGGGCTCGTAGCAATTACCCTCTGTGTGGCCTACCTTGGTTATTTGCATGCAACAATAGAGAATAAAAAGGACCTCTATGAAGCAATTGACAGTGAGGGGTCCAGCTATCTGAGGAGGAAGACTTCTAAGTGGGACTGAGGACATAAGGAAGGAAATCAGCAAATCAATAACAGAACTTTGCCAGGCAACTACTATTTTTTTTTTCTCTCTCCCTTGAAATAATGGATAAATGTCTCTCTTGTTGTTCAGTCCAGTTTAAGTTCCTTTGTAAAATGCCATACCTGTACAAATGAATTGCAATTGAGATACATGTGAACATAAAAGTGACTTTTAAGAATTGTTGTCTGCAAACTCCATGGCCTGTCAGAAGACATGAAGTTACCTCGGACATGCAGTCAAGACTAGTAAATGCCTTAGAAGTGCACATGATAGTTCAGCTTATTTGCTCTTTGCTTTGATTGAGTGAAAACAGGGGTTTGTCTTAATTTTTAAACAGAAGTGTAATGCATTGTGTGTGAAAAGAAAAAGTTGATCTCTTGATCTGTTGAAAGTTGACAGGTAACAGTGCAAGTGAAATAATTTTAAAGCAAGAAAGATCTGATAGTCATTGGAGGGTTGTATTTAATAAAGGAATTTGTAAAATACTGACCAAAGTATTCCTTGGATGATAATATATTCTTCCTTACAAACGGAAGAAAACCTAGTAGGTAAGTAGAGAAGAAAAAGTGAAAGGAGTGCTTCTGCCAAGAGAAAAGCAGGAAGAACTCAGCTGTGACCTTTCCTGTTTGGCAGAGTAGAGCAGATCAGTGAACCTACCAATATGAGCTTTCCAGTCGCTATGTATAACTCCAGCTTAGCCAGAGGTTGTGCAGTGTTCTTGACTAGTCATCAAGACTAGTTTATTCAAGCTGCTTTCAAAAATTTAAGTTTCTCTGTATTGCAGAGTACATCATATAACACTAATTTATTACAGGCTGCTAAACTCAAAATAGGGAATGGAAAGTCTAAAATCAACAGTGAAAAGACTGTTCTTACAATGACAGGACTGCATCCACCTGAACAATTCCAGTCTTGCCAGTCAGCCTTGTGTGTGAATGTGAGGCAGCCCATTGGCAGTGGGCTGGTTGGTGCCGCTGTGAGCCTGGCTGCTGTGGTGTTGCCTTAGCACAAGAGAGGGTTCCCGTGAGCACACTGTACAAGTGGGTGCTGTCCTGTTCTGCCACTAAGGCTTTCTACGAGCTGCTCCAACTGCTTTTGTGTTCCTGACATGTCCTAGATAGTATCTCATTAACCAAACTCCAGAGCATGTGGTGGGAGGGCACATGCTGTGGAAAAGTGCCCTTTTCCCACCGTGGACCCTCATTAACATTCTTGGTTGTATTTTTCCATTCAGCTACCTCATATTTATAACCCTATCAAGGGCTCCCAAGAAGCTGAGACCTGTTTCTTAATCCTGTTTTGGCCAAAGTGGCTTCTGTCAGGCCAAAGAAGACAGAACATGCAGTGACATCTGTTTGCCACTCTAGGAATTGCTCTGGGTTATGTTACAAATGGTTTTGTTACTGAAGATAAGAAAGGTGACACTGCCTTGAGAGCTCTATTCTCTTTATCTCCCTATAAATCCTTCGCATTGAACCTGTGATTTTCCTTGTGTCTCTGTTTTATAGTTACCTGTATCCTAAATTCAGCTGGGCCTTGGTTTGGTTACTTCCTGCCTGGGGAGGGAACTGACTTCTACCTTTGAAAAGCTGTAGAAACAAAGCCTTTTAAAACATATTCCCCTCTGTGAGCCTAGCTGCCTCACAGCAACAAGGTCCTGGGCAAGTCTGAAAGCTTGCAGGTGAAGAAACCACTTGCCTTTTGATTGGTGAAGGAATTTCCAAGTGAATCATAGAATTGATCAAATATTCAGAAATAGCACATGCTGTGCGTATCCCGTGGAATATTTTTTGTTTGATAGAATGTGATGGATATCTAGAATCCATCTGTTTTTTTCAAAAGGGTCACACAGCATTTTAGTTCTTTTCATTTCATTAAAATGCAGAAGTCTGGTGTGTTTGCATGAACTAAAACAACTCCAAACCCAGTGCTGCAGTAAGCATGTTAACCTGGTTTTCTGCAGGCTTTTAAAATACACACTTTGATCCTTATACCTGCAGATGATTCGAAGTGAGAAAACCCAGTCCTTTATTTTCACATATTTGGGAGTAATGGCTCTCAAAATTTTGAACTGTGAAGAGAATACGGATCTGGAAGGATCTGAGGAAAAGGAAGTCGGGGGTTGTAAAAGATAAAGGCCGGGATTGACCTGGGCAGGGTCGAGGCAATGTGTGTGCCAATGGCACTTCATAGAAAAGCTGTCTAAGATGGGGCCTTGTTGCTACTGGCTGGAGTCAAGTCCTGTTAACCAGGTTAATTTAGAACAGGCTGAAGGAACAGTATTTAAATTTGTCCCTATTATTGAGGAGATTCTCTATTTTTTGTGGCAGGTGCTTCACAGGTAACTCAATGCTACAAAAATTACATATAAAAAAGGAGATAAAGCAGTGCAAACACAGAGAAGAACATAATTAATTAATGTGTGTTATAGTATCAATACTGGCATTTGCTGTTGTAAGTAACTGATTTATATCGTAAAAACTATGTGTATTGGATTAAAGGGGAAAACACCCACCCAAACAGAGCTCCATTGGTAGCAAAATTTGTTGGCTCAGCTCTGAAAGCACAACTCCTTATACACCTGGAGACAGCGCCAATACAATTTCTTTTGTTTAGCTTTTCTCAATTTCATCTTCAATATAGTAAGAATTATCGACAGTGGATAACAGGTGGCTTGACAGGAACTGAGAGTCAAAATGATTTCCCACCCACAGGCTCTGCCAGGATTTTGCTAATTCTTTACTGTATGTGCTGGCTTTCTCATCTTTACCAAGAACAGCAACAGGATTCTATTGATTCAAATACCTGAAGCACCAGCTATTATGCTGCTCCTAAAATCTTAGCTTACATGGTTTGAATAGGAATTGTTGGCATTCAGCAACAGTGAAACAAATATAAAAAAGACACTGAAAAGGCAAAGCCTGCTGTGACACTGCTCAACTCTTACCGGGAAACTTAGTTCTTTGTGAGCAAAGCCAGCCCTGCCTGGTAACCATTGCTCTGCAGGGAGCTAGCTGCATTCAGGCTGGAAGAGGTTACTTCACGAAACCCTCCCTCATCATCTGCCTGCAGCATGTTACTGAGCTGTCAGCATGTGTGAATGAATCCTAACCGGAAGGCAAACGTTTCAGCCAACTCGGTAAAAAGTAATTTTAATTTCTTCACCAGCTTGCATGTTTTCTGTAGCAACAGTTAAGTGTTTTGCCTGCAAGCAAGAGATGTATCAGGAATAGAGTTCTGACATTGTAGCAACTGTATTACAGGAAAACAGAACGCCACAATGATTAGAAATCCTGATCTGCACTCCTTCGTGTGTTGTGCTACATGTTCAAAAATAGTACCACCGCCACCTTCCAACACTACTTTTGGTCGGATTCGGGAGTATAAGCCTTTCATAACACGGTATTACACTCATCATGATATACTGGGTGAGTCTGCTGCTGAAATCTGTTCCTTGCAATCTGAGATTTAGGAAAACTCCAAGAGCTGTTGTATCCATCTGTTCTTGACAGTCATTAAGGTGTTCATGTCTCCGTAACAATGAGCTGTGCTTACCTTCTGAATCTTAATAAGTCTAGTATATTCAGGGTCATTTGTCCTGTGGTGCATGACGCTGTTCAGACTTGGGCATAGTGGAGTCCAAAAGAGAATCAGCTCTAAGACCGTTAGCAAATGTTTTTTAAGCCTCAAGTAGTTTGGAAAGAACTACATTTGACTTAACATATGCAAAGGTCATTACCTTATCCTTGACTGCAGCACAGCACAGGACACAGTTGAGATATTTTATCCTGAATCCTACCTTCTTATACCTGATTCAGCTGCTGACCTTAGATTGAGGCTCTAGATTCTCTTGAGGTTTGATGTTTTTGTTGGCATGTCACAATCATAACCTCAATAATAAAGGAAATTGTGGTAGCATTCATACTTTTGAGGATCTAGCAAGAATCTGAAGTATCTTTATATGCTATGCCTAATTGTCAGAGAGGTTTCTGATCAGTAAAGTTATGTAGAAATCATCTTGTGCCTTTTAATTAATGTGCGTTGTGAAGAGCAATGTGCTTGGTTTCTATTTCAAACGATATAAAGAGGTTATCAGTGTAATGGGAGCCTGGGCAGCGGGATGAGTGCCCCGCATGTGCTCAGAACATGAAGCTTCAGCCCTGTGTTACACACACGCAATGTGAAACACATCGAGAAGGCCATAGAGTCTCTTTAAATGATTTTCTTTTTACTGCTTAATATAATGGACTGGGGGAAAGCTGTGCAATCAGAGCACAACATGCTTGTTGCTAGGCTTTCTGCACTGCTGGACTTCTGTTTTGTTGATTTGCATCAGTAGACCCCTTTGTCCCATCTTGCTGCTGCCTTCCATGTACTTCATGTGAGCTCTGTGGGAGGATTCTGCCCACCCATGTGGAGTGGGGAGGAAGACTGGAGTGAAAGAGGGAGGGAAATTTAATCCTCCACTGGCTGTGTGAAAGCTGGATCTCCTGTGACTCTACTCCTTCTTAATTTTCCTTTATAATGACCCAGAAAAATGTGACTCTTTGGCCCTGTCAAGTACAGAGAATGGGATCCAAAGCAATGCCCAGGCTTGGCACTGAGTAGGAAAGATGGAGGCTCTGAAATCCCACTGTTGGGGGGGATGAGGTGTTTGAATTGCAGAAAGGCATCTTTATCCACTTCCCTTCCACTTCACTTAGACTCCATTCATGTTGCTAAGGGGAGCATCCCTGGTGTTGGCCCTGTGAAGCAATGTGGCTCACCACCATGGTGCTTTGCCCCACCTTTCTAGGAGGGATCAGCTGTGTCTGCAGTGCTGGGGCTGCTTGGACCCTAGCCAGATGCAGCAACCGTAGGGACAGAAGCATTCCTTTGTATGTGCCTGGTCTGTTCCAAAAACCTGGAATATTCTGTATTTTCCTGAGGGTATTTACTGTGTGCCCCAAGAATAGCATAAAGGAATCTGAGGGCATCTCAGGCAATAGACCTCTCTGAAAGCCTTGGAGGACTGAGGACACAGGGAGCCTGAGAAGGCACCAACTCAACTATGGCATCTAAAGGAAGCAAAGCTATCCCCCAAGCTGTTGCAATATTCAATCACAGAGAAATAGGTGAATCACTCCCAAGAAAGCTGAGGACTGACCAGCTTGTGCTGTGCAGATGGCCATCAGGACGAGGAGTCAGGAGGGACATCTGCAATGCTCTCCTGTCCTGTAGCCTTGTCTAGGAGGAGAGAGTTGGGTTCAGCACCTTCCTATTATATTTACAGAACTGCACAAGCAATAATAATTGTGGTTTCACCCTCATGTGAGATGAGGGTGCATGTTTTTTAGCCTTTTGACTTTTAATTCAGGTGTGGAGCCAAGCAAAGGGGTGGGGAGAGAGGCATGGAGTTCTGCACTGTGGTTGTCTGCTGTGCATGATCAGCTTGTGTTGACTGTGCAGAGATTGGAGCACATGTTGAACAAGAAAAACATGAAAAGAAGGAGGCAGAGGCACAAGAGTGCATTGAAAAAATGAAAGCTGAAATTTGGTCCCAGGTAAATTAAATTATTCTCCCATCATTTTAATAACGATTATACTTTGGAATAATTGCTACGGTATAAAGACAGTTAATAAAGAACTTTGGGGTCACTGCTTTAGAGCTGTCATTAGTTTCAGCTCCTCCTTTGTTCACAGATTTCTGTGTGCACATAATTCTCTCTTTTCTGATCACAACAAAGCATACTTTGAATTAGTAACAGATTTTACATCTGGTCTGAAAATGGCCTCTAAAGCACACAGAAGTTACCGGTTGTTAAAGCTGTTCCCCACAGTGCTATGTAAGATTAACATGTATGTTAGATATATTTATCGTGCTTACAGCTGTGTCAGCTCAGTGCTGTTGTGAGGACACATTTGAACAGGAATCACTGCAATAAAATTGCCAAATGGGCTACAATGGATTTTGCTACCTGGTTTTGAATTTAACTTGCTCTGATTTCTTAAATAGCAAATAGAGAACTATTGTTTATGTAACCTCTGCTTCTTCTTAATAGGAAGTTAATAGAATGTCAGCAGTTATACTTAAATAATAACTTGTTTTAAAGGCTGAAACACTCAAGGAAGATGCAGTGGAAAAAGCCCTCAACGAGGCAGCCGCTAAACACAGTGCATTTGTACACGACCTTCAAAAAAACTTTGAAAAGAAATTGAAGGTATGAACCAGTTTGTTTTTATTACCATGGAAATAGCCAGCAAGACAGAAGCATGTGTTTGACAATCAAGAATGTCATTCTGTGTAAAATAAATACGTATCTTTTTAAATGTTTGCTATAACCAGAAACTCCATTCATCTGAGATTTGAACTCCAGTGTCAGGAGAAGTACTTGGACTGACAGATGACTGCCTTTGTGCTAGATGAGATGTGAGCTTGAGTTAACTGGATTTTGAATTAAATTTCAGCACGTTTCACTCTTTTTTTTTTTTTTAATTGAATGAAGATTGTGAACTTTGTTGAAAATTCCTTGTCAGGCCTTGATTCAGCCAGCCCCTGAGCTGATCTGGTACGTTTCTTAGAGGCAGTTAAATATGGGCTTAACTTCAAATCTGTCCTCAAGTTTCATGTCCATCAAAGCTACAAAGGTGTTTAATTGATTTGCTGAGCCTACTGAATGGAGTGGAGGGGAAGAAAAACTGCCAGCATATGTATACTCCTAAATGACGCACGCTAACTGTAGCCTTGAATTTTTATATATGTTTAGCACATGTTTCATATGGCTTTTTGGATATCTGAGAAAAGGCTCAGAGATATACAGAGAAAGGTAGGCAACTGCCTTCTGGATCTTAGCCTTCCGACTTTCTGCGCTGCTTCACAGGGCTTTTTGCTGCTAGAGCATCCAAGTGCTCCTCAGTCAGGCATTACGCAGTCAGTCTAACGCTTGTCATCCTTAGTCTTGCAGCCTCCCACCGGCAGATGAAAGGCGCACAGAGAATTGCTGGAGTGTTTTGCTTTGGAATTTTATTTTGTACAAGTTTCTAAATAGCTATCAGTTTATACTGCAGGCAGTCAAAGCAATGTGCTTGGCATCTTAAGAGGAAAAGCAGGGAGGTTTACAGTGGTCTTAAGTTTCTGTTAGAGTTCATTCCATTTTATGGAGTTGTTTTCCAAGGGAGCTCTGTCTTTTGCTGTCAAAGCATCTGGCAACAATAGTTGCCAGAAGCTTAGTTCCTTGTGATTAACCATTCAGTTACTTGCTATTATACATCTTTTTAGACTATTTGTGTTAGACTATTATTACAGTCTACTACAGATCTTCATAGACCTGAGTGCTCAGGATTTGAACATGTAACATTGTCCTGGCAACATAGGCTCCAGTGACTGAGGACAAGGGAGCAGATACAGAATACTACAGCTGAAACACAAGAAGAGGCAGATATCACTAAAGTAATTGTGAGACGTTTGAGATTTGGTGGGGTTTGTTTCTTGTAGTTCATTTTAAGAGGTATGTTAACAGTGAGCTAAATGCTCACTAGCAGTTAGCTTGCAGAGACAATGGCAGAAAATTTACTCAACTCCTGTCTAAGCAAAGAGATAGTGGCAGCTAACAAAGCATATCACTGAGTGACTGAAGTGGGGTTTTTACCTGTAGGGAAGGTCAAAGACAATTGCTTTTAGCTGATAGCCTCGGGAATGGCTTTTTTTGCAGCAGTACTGATATGGCCACCACCATTCATGGTCAAACGATTTTAGTCAGGCTTCCTGTAGGCATGTGAGTCTGTGAAGAAAATACATCAGGGAACTTTTATCTGCCTTATGTAGAAAACATGGGTGATGTAGATGTGGAATGATGTTACAATAAGTCACTGTAATTGCCCCATAATATGTTTCTGAAGTCTGTTCTGCTGGGCGTTGCTGGGGATTGTTTAAAGACAACTGAGCAAAAAGCTGTTGTCACTACTTACATCTACTTTTAACTTTGCTTAAGGAAGAGGTGATGAAGGCAAAGGCAGAGATGCAGCGGTACATGGAAGAACAGCAGAAGAGAGAGGTAGAAGCTGCAGAGCAACGCATGGCTCACAGACTTCAGAGGATCCTCATAGAGTGTGCCCAGGACAAGACACGAGCTGTGGCCAAAGCCAGAAAACAGGAGAGGGAGGCAGCCTTTCAGGAAGCAGCCACTCTGCGCAGGTGCTCTTAGTGTTTCCTCTGACTTGGGTGGCAAAAATGCTGTTCTAAATGATTGGAATTGCATCAGCATTGCTCAGATGCAGGTCTTCTAGGAAAAGATCAATACACCCTTCAGAAAACCACATATTTGGAAATGACAAGTGACCAGCAAGAATTGCAGACTCACCCTCTCTCACTGATGCACCAAATAAAAATGAAGCATATTTTGTTTCAAAAAGCAAGTATCACAAAGCCAGCCAAGGATCCAAACATTTTGAGTTTTGTAGCTGATTTAGAGTCATCAGAAGTAAAGATCTCAGGGCCTATTGTGCCATTGATGACATCTGTGCAAAACTGAGATCTGCAGGGCACAGGAGATTCTACCTGTATAGATTAAACATTGTGAATTAAATAGCTTTGATGTAAAAATAATAGCACACCCCTCTCCCTTGAGAGTAGAATACATTTAATTTTTTGACAACATAGACAACAAAATATCACTATCACAATGAAAAGATCAGTTCAGGTGTGTTCCTTTGTAAGATATTTTTCATTTTCTGAACAGTCATACTTAAGTTTTGATCCATTATTTAATACCTTTGTTTCCACTATTAAAACATGCCCCTTCTGCCAAAGATAAATGACATTCCACATAAACTTAACTGGTCTCTTTAACTTCTCATGTTAGCAGAGTTCTGCTAAAATATCTCCAGCAAAGTGGAGGGAGCACGAACAGAGGGCAGAAATTGTTTTCTCTACATCAAAGTATTTGGCTCAGTAACCTTTATGGATGCCTGATGCACCATTTTTTCTGTATCCCTGAGCCAGCTGTGGTGAATAGCACCCATAATGTTTTGACTACATAATATAAATTGTATTTATTACTGACATGCTGGCACAAATATGTTCTCAGTAACCTTTAAACAAAATTATGGATGAGTCTGTAGTCTAGAAATCAGTTGTTAGATTTGACTTCAAGGCAGCATTTTAACCTGGGGGCAGAATTGTCAAAGTCTATTTGAAAATCAGTGTGTACTTAATTCTCTTAAAGAAAGAATTCAAGTGTCTCACTCAGAGACCTGAATGAAGAGTGAAATACTGATCCTTTATATTTTTCATTTCATCATGAAATTATTGCTAGTTGTAGCACACACAGAAATAGAATCTTCTGCAGCTTCCTTTCTCTGCATCATCAGTAGACTATTTTATTTCAGATGTCCTGTATCAAGTTCTGATTTCGCATTTATTTATAGTTGAATAAGAGAGTTTTTACAACAACCTAAATAGACTTAGTTTTTTTCAATAATCTTTAGTAACATGTGTTCCCAACAAATCTTTTTGTCATTTTCTTTTTTAAACAGAATGTGCTCAGAACAACTTAAAGAAGAAATTAGATTAGCTGAGGAACAATATCATAAGAGTATAGAGCAATTAAAAAAAGAAAAAGATCGTGAGATTCATATTGTCCGGAGTATCATACAAAAAGAGAGTGAGACTGAGACTGAAAAACAGCCTGAAAAAGCAGAGACTTTACAGGCTGGTGAGCTGGAAAATGTTACAGTTACGCTGAAAGCAGCAGAAGAACAGATAAAGACTCTCACACAAGAACTAGAAAAGGTGACAGAATGGAAGGACATCCTGGAAAATGAAATACAAGCAACAAGACAAACCTTTCAAAAGTATATTGATGCCACATTTCCTAGCCTGTCCCTTGGACAAGCAGATTTTATTTTGCCATTCAGGGAAGCATTTCAGCAGAAGGACACACCAGAAGCATCAGAGGACAGTGACAGTATAGGAGAACTAGTATCCAAAGTGTGAGGTTCACAGCCATGGGTAAACAGAACTACAAACAGGCAATGCTGAAAAATAAAGTCATCTGCTCATTGTATTGCATTATTGTGGTTTGAATGATACAGAGAAAAATTACTATCACTGTATTAAATAATTGGTGAGCCATGCTGAGAAATTATCCATTAATTTTTGTTTTGCAAATGCTAGGGCAGAGGTTGGAACACGTAACACTTGAGGAGCTTCCCACTGAGTCCTTCTTGAGAAGGAAAAAGGCAGAAAAATCTAAGCAGAAAATCTCAGTTAACCACGAGCGCTTGGACTTTGAGGACTGTTGGCTCTGCCCCTGAATAGTCAGGTGTGGAATAAGACACACAGGCTTTGAACAACCTCACCTCAGGTTCTGAGATTTACAGGGTGGTTATTCAATGCAATGGTGTGTATGTCTATGTAAAGTCCCTGAAAGTGAGTGGCTACATGATCTGAAAACTCACCTGGCTTGAGAGACAGCTTTTGAGCAAAAAGTGTGTGCCAGCAGGCATGCAAAATAATTTTCCCTTGGGAGGACTCAGGTTTATCTATTTACACGTGCTTGAAGCCTGCATGGCTTTAGGCCAGCCTCAGTACACTGATTTGTTCCAAGATTCTGCCTGCCGAAACAGCAGATTTCAATATGCCTTCACTGTGTAATAAGACTTCCCACAGCATTTGCTTAATATTCACTAAAGCTTTATGTCTGTCTTGTTACCTGTTCATCTAAAACCACTGCACAGCATCTTGAGTGTAGCTGAAGAATGTAAAGGAGCTGGTATTTACTGTAGGTGATAGAAAGTATAATATGGTGAAGGAACCTGTCTATAGGTATCTCATTTAAAAGATTTTTTAAGAGAGCAGTCTGTGCAACCATCTTTTCCTCATGCTCAAAAACAACCCCAGAAAACCAAAAAGCAGAATAATCTCATAGATATCCATCACTCTACCAAACTAAGAAGTGAAGACAAGTGAAGTCACTGGTTTCTTGTGAAACAGTTTAATTCATATAAAATATTTTGAGCAGATATTTGGCAGGCTCTGGCACTATTTCTGACCTAAATACCTGTAAAACCTTACTCCACTGAATTGTGGAAGCTCTTGCTGTGGAGAGCTGATGCTCCCTGTTCATTTTCCCTCTTAAGTTTGCAATGAAAAGAACCCAAACTTCATGTTCACGGCTGTCTAATCAAACGGATAAACTGCTCAGAACCCAAGACAAAACTTGTGTTTGCAGCTTAAAAGCCCATCAACAGTCTGAAATACTCCATAAGATCTATAAACCATTTTCTAAAGAAAGCATTTACATATGCATTAAGCATAAAAGTCTTTTGAAACTACAGGAGTAAAGTACTGGAACTAAAGTACTAGCAGCAGCATCATGCAATATCTAAAGCTGGTGAACACTCTGTTGGGTTAGCTGGTTAAAGGCTCACCTCAGTACACACTGAGGAGCCCAGGGGAAGATGCAGCTGGGAGAACACTAGCAAACCAGTCAGAGGAATAAATCCCCAATCCAGCCCCTCCCAGGTCATCCCAGGAGAGTGTTAGCTCCATGGACTGGGAGTGAGACCCAGCACCACAAGTCAATTGGAGAGCCTTTCTGGAGAACCTTGCAGACTGAGGATGGATACAGCCTGGATGTATAGGACTCCTCATGGAATGCAGTGAAGAATATCTTGAGATTGTACAAAGGTTTAGTATGGAATCTTTAGGGAAAGAACCAAATGTGGAAAAGGGGATCAAGGTGTTTAGGGGAAGAATAAGTGATAAAAGAGAGGGATAAGGGGATAAAGGGGCTGGTTACATGTAAACAGGGGCTGGTCACAGATGACAATACCCTGTGCCTGATCAGCACAGTCTGTCCTGTCTTCATATTGAACTCCTTTTCTAACTTTTCCTGGGTGCAGGGCTTTCTCTGTGTGTATGTGTGTGTGTGTATGCATGGGGGTCTACCTGCCAGCAGCTGTAGTTGGAACACAGATGACAAGAGCTGAGGGCTTAGGGTGCCAGCAATTGAGAGACTGGAGAGCATATTACCTGGGTATGTACGTCAGTGTGTAATCACTGTAAATATCAAGACAGGCTAGCCGACAGCTAGGCTAAAGTGTGGGAGCCAAGGGACAAGTGGCCATAAATCTAAGATACTGGAGAGAACAGAACATCTAAGATTTCGCTACTTGAGGGACCAAGTGGTAGAAGCCAGTGACTGGAGAGGCTGTGAGGTCTGAGGGTTGGCTGCTGGTAAGGTCATAAGTCTGAACCAGCCACCAGGCATTCTGTTTGCATGCATTGTTTCTGTGAATGAGGCAAGATGAGGGGCAATTCTGCATTTCATGTCAGAAAACCTAAATGATGTTAAAGTGCTTCAACTCCCCTTGAACAAACAGCTCTGATTCTCTTGCAGTGATAGATACATAGGGGCTTTTTTGTTCTCCTCTACTAGGAAGGATATAATAATCATATACTTCTGCGAGCTTTACTCTAGCATTTGTTTCAGAAGAATAAAGAAGTCACCCTGTCTCACAGACTTAGGCTGTTTTATGTCTGGGGTACAATGGCAGTGACTGATGCAGACCATGGCTGTCTACAGGGATAAGTGTTCCTGTAGTGGACCTTAGTCACATCCAGACATCCAGATAAGACAAAGGGCATCTGTGAGTGCACATCTCAGGCTCCTCAAGACCAACAGCCTTGGGGGCATGGTTGGAGACAGGCAGCAGGGCCTCAAGATCTGGTCAGCTGTGTCTATACATATACATACTACAGGCATGCTTTGGTGTGAGCTTACTCACCAGTGTGTGCACAGCACATACTGCATGTAACAGTCTGTCAGGCACTGGCATTGCTTCTTATTGCCTTTTGGAAAAGAAAAACTATTTTGGTTGACTGCTTTCAAATGCCAAGGTGAAGTTGTTTTGGCTCTGCTTAGAAACAGCATGTCCTCTTCAGTCTGTGCACTTGCTTGTGTAATAATGAAAGGAGCCACAGCCTGGCCTAAGAGAAAGGCTCTTCAATGCAATTGGCAGACAAGATAACAAGCACTAAAATTGCTGTGGGACCTGGAGAGCCATTTGCCATGGACAAAGTTTGGTGTTTCAACGAAATATTTTAGAACATGGAGTATCTAACTAAGCCTGATCTAAGAGACTGTTTTTTCCCTTCCAGTTGTACTCACTGCACAGTATTAATTATGGTTGACCGTTCAATTTTCATACTTTTTTAACTTTCTGCATGTCAGATAATTAACTAATGAAATCTGAGTACACGAACTTTTGGTATAAAAATAATACCAATAATAAAAATCAGGAGTTCAGACATACAAGCAAGCCTTTCATTGCATGAAGCAGAGACAGCATATGTTTGTTGGCTTGCTTTTGTTCCTGTTTGAGAAGGATTGCAGCATAAAAAGTAATGCTACCTTCTTTACTTGCACTCGGAATCAGAGAGAGCATGAAGACATGCTTTTTGGCTCTCTGAATGATACAAATAAAGAAGCTTTCAGATAACATCTGGATGCTAGGGTGCTACTGGCGGCACATATTGATGGCAGAGTGCATGAGATAAAACCTAGAATGGGGAGCTGTAATGCTGCAATGAATAATACAGAAATCAGGGTTTCTCTATTAGTCATTCAGGGGATGTCTTATATTGGCAAAAAGCACCAGACTCTCAGGAACAGTGAAACTTTCTGTCTAAGGCAATGCTATAAAAGACTGAAAAGTGGATTGTCTAATTACTGTAGCTGAGCAGCTGAACTGGGAGGGAGCTCTTGAGTACGGCTGATAAGCAGCTAATTAATAAACTAGAACCATCTTGCTCGTTAGTCCCTCAAAGGTCTGCAGAAGAGATCTGTGATGTCCTAAAAGGAGGATGTGCAGATTGTGAAAACTCTGAATCCCTGGCATAGAGAAATGAAGTGTGAAAGAAACTAATGATGCCGGTAGCATTTGGAGCGTGAGCACTTGCTGTCTGCGTCTGTGAGGCAATTAAGGAATCGCAGTGCCTCACCGGCAGCAGGGCGCAGAATGAACCCACTCCTTGCACGGATATACCGTGAGACAAGGAGGCACAAAAGCACAAAATGCAATCAGTTCTAAGTAACCTTAAGTTTGATGGCTTTGTAATGGAAAATAACTGAAGTGCTTGAAGGTAGTTGACATAGTTTTAGGTCCTTAGGACCTTAGTACAAAAAGTGTAAGAAAAACAGAATAGAAAAACAGGACCTGGGGATGGGAAGCATCTGAAACTAGCAGATGTCCAGGATGGAAGTAGTTAAACTAACTGATAAGTAGAAGGACAGGATGATTGCTATGTCTGTAATGTTAATTAAGCTGGTGCTTCAAAGACTGCCAGGAGTTATGAAGATTGTTGGGAGAAGTAAACGACCCTCAAAGACCACCATCACATTCTTGTATGCATGCCGGAAACTTTCTGGAAAATGATGTAATTCATGTGTAGCCTCATGAATATGTATGTATGCCCAGTGACCATATAAGGATGGCCTGAGTAGCAATACGGGGATACACGTTAGGAGGAGCTATCCCGCGTGTCTCCCAGCGCTGCGATAAAGAATACCTGCTTGTCAGCTTGAAACTCTGTTGGTGAGATTTGTTCCAGGAGTTTTCTCCGAATCAACCGACACAGATATAAACTGAGTAATTGTGATTTAAGTTACCGACGTGCTTTCCTTTGCTGGGCTTGCTTAATTAACTACAGTTCAGTGTTACATTTGCTGCTAGTTAAAAGACAGATTGCATAAGCAAATATGAGTGACTAATTCCAAAATGCCTCAAGTGACTGGTGGGAGATGCAGATGCTGAACAACTGGCATTAATATTGGCTAGTAGGTACAATACACTGGGTGTTTTGGGGATATCTAGGCAGGGTTTTGCCTGGGGACTTCTCAGAGCGACCAGAGGAAAAGACAAATTCTAGAAGGAAGACTGGGCCAACAACAGTGATAGAAATGTCCTGAGAAGTGAGGAAATCTGTGCTGCCTCTATTGCTTTTTAGTGGAACTAGCAGTTAATACGTCACCGTAGCTTTTGTTGAGCCAGTGAGCAAACCAAGAGCTAGGTAGACAGATTGACTAACATCAGCTAGTAAACTAACTCCAAGGAGAAGGATAAATGAAACTGTTGTAACCCAGTTATGACATAACCTGCCCAAATCTTGGCTCTTTTTCTAGCTGATCATTAACAATTTGTCTTGTTTGTATTAAAACAGTCTCTAGATCTTTGTTTTGGCTTCTTCTAGGAGTATGGCTGTCTCGTTCTTACTGCTGAGACACTCAGCTATTCCAGTGAGCACCTGAAGCCCTTCTGTGACATTCCTTTTAAAATACTAAATCTGTCTGCAAGAAATGCCTATTTCTGAGTCCACTGAGTAGATGGTTCCATCTCATCCATAAAACCTGTTTTCTGCTTTCCTGCTTCTATCTGAACAACCTCACCATGCACGTTTGGTGACTTTTCAGGTGCTACTCTCATTTCTCAGTTATGAAGGGCATTTCTAATAGTAATAATAATCTCTGTTTGAATGTATCCTTTCCTATAATTTGAGGAAATTGGTTTTCTGTTTACTGTTGTATTAGAATACCTCTTTTGTATATAGGAATGAAATTTGGAAATTTTGAAATAAAGGCTGTTGTAATAAGAGGATATGAATTCTTAGAAAGGTTACCTGGACCAGAACATTTAATTTCATTAAACCTTTAGAAATGACTATCAGGAGAAAATGACTGAGGAGTTGACTCAAAATACTATTCAGTAGGATACACATTCTCTTACATTCTCAACCTGATTTCATAAATGACCTACATAAGCTGTTGCTGACAGGCAGAGCTTTAAATAGCCTTGGAAAGTGTCTCCTGAAGGTCCCAAGCCTCTTCCTCTAAGGGCTAAAATTTTACTTCTGACCACCAAATTCTTGCTTTTTTCTGGCTTGTGACTTTTACCGGCTGCAAGCATGGAGAAATCAAGATACCAACACCTGTAAACTGAAGTGAACTAGCTAGAAGGTCTTCCTAACTCTTATTTTCTAGATTCAAAGCTTAATTCAGGGGTGTTCAACAGGTTTTCATAAAATATGAATTCAAACAGAAGTGTTTGAAATGAAAACATGAATTCAAACAGATGGTGCAAGTAATGGGTATGTGAGTAAATGAATTGCAGCTGTACTCATGCCCCTTTAACCTGACTTCTAACCCAAGAAATATGGTGAGGACATGATAGGTATTTTCCTATGTCCTCTATGTCACCTCAGTGAATCCTGGTCAGACTACCTGGATACAAGCATATGAATGCATGGTTGTGAGAATGCGAGTGACACTAATTTTGTTTAAAATCAAATTTGCCCATGAAATGGAATATGCAAGAGCCCTTTTTGTCTGAGGAAGAGGAAGACATAACACTGAAAATGTACTGCGGAGAGAAACCATAATGCTTCTTCAAGGCTTTTCATTAGTTTGTTGCTAAGTAGAGCCAACACAGGTTTTGAGTAACTGCACTCTCAAAGTGAATGTTCTCTCAATTTTTGTTTAGCTTGATAAAAAAGGAGTACATTTTCTTTGGGGCACTGGTTTGCAAGATAATGAGTCAGAAATCAAACATTTATACAGCCCAGCTGTTACTTCAGCAG